GGAGCGGGAGCCGAAGCCGGCGGGCCGGGGCCGGGGGCTCGGGGCCGGGGGCGGCGCGCTCCAGCCGCGGCTGAGCGCCGTGCCGGGTCCGCGGTGACCGCGCCGCCCGGGGGATGCCCGCGGGAACGCCGCCGGCCGCCGGAGCGAGGTGAGACACGGTGGGGACGCGCGCCCCACTGCGCGGCGGGACCCTCTTCAACTTAGCGGGGCCGGAGAGGGGGCCCCTGGGGCCCCCGCCCCGGCGGTGGGGGAGGGGCGGCCCAGCCCTCGCCGGAGGGAGGGGGCGGGCGGGGGCGGGGGGCGCATTTGTCTCTAATAAGGGAAGACAAAGACATCCCGGCGACCGCGGCTGTTCCCGCAGCTCCGCTCTGGTCGAGGCGGGCGAGGGGTGTCGTTCCCGGGTCCCGGTCACCGCCTGTCACCCCGCAGGTGCTGCCCGCTGTCACCATGACCGAGGGCGCGCAGGCGGCCGACGAGGTCCGAGTGCCCCTGGCCGCTCCGGGCTCGGAGGCGGCGGCGGCAGGGGCGGCTCCGGGGAGCCCCGGGGTGCCGGGGCGGGAGGCGGAGCCGGGGTCCGGGCCCGGCGCATCGCCCCCCGAGAGCCCGGCTGCCGAGCGCAGCGCGGAGCTGGGCGCCGACGAGGAGCAGCCCGTCCCGTACCCGGCGCTGGCGGCCACGGTCTTCTTCTGCCTCGGGCAGACCACGCGGCCGCGCAGTTGGTGTCTCCGGTTGGTCTGTAACCCATATCCTTCCAGGGCCGCCGGGCTGCGGCCATGCAGGACGTGGGGGTCCAGCGTACGGGACCTCCTCCGCTTGGCCCACGCGAGACCGGACTCGTTGGACCCGGAGCGGGCTGGGCGCGCGTGGAGCGCAGGGCAGGGGAGTGACGGCAACGGGGGCATCGCTGCATACCCGATTGAGCGTCCCCGGTCCTGAGCTAGCGCGGGATCGGAGAGGGTGGGAGAGAAGCGGCGAGGCTACCACGAGCTTGGAGGGGAAGACGGGTCGGCAGGGCGGGAAGTCGGAACTCCCTGTGCCCCTTGGGTGGCGGTCAGGACCGGAGTGCTGTCCCCTGGGCTAACAGAATGTCCGCCAAAGGCGGGACCCTCGTTGGGGGGGGAGGCCGGAAGGAAGTAGAGTAAGGGGAGCAAAGTTTTTAGCCTGTGCTTTGCGCTTCAGAGCGTCGCGGGAGACCCGTGGGGCCGGGAGGCGGTGCGAGTTTGCCGGCCCTTTTTCACCAAGACGTGCCGTGACGTTGGTTGTGAACTCGCCTCTCCAGGCTGAACTCGGTGCTGGGGCTGATTTAAGTCATGCGCAGCTGGGGGTGGGGGGCAGGGACGCAGCTGGCTCTGCGCTCTGAGTCCCTTCCCCTAGGGCTTTTCCTGGCCTTGGAGGATGGGGCCCCCTCTCTGCTTCTGGCCACAGTGGCACAGACTTTCAGAGAAGGTTCCAGAGTGGTGTTGGGTCGGCTAGGGGGCACTTCTGGGATGCAGATGGCAGGTTTGGTGGCCCCCCCCCAGCAGATGGTGTTTCGGGGCTGTTCCGGTGGGTTCTGGTTGGCCCTGGGTCCTGCCCTGCTCGGTTTTGTCTCTGGTAATGGGAACCGGTTTTCAGGCGGCTGGACTGTGGGTGCTGAGCCTTACAGCTCCTTGCCGTGGGGGGATTGGATATTCTGGACAGATGGGGGCAGCGGGGTGGGGGGTGTGGCTGCGTGGAGGGAGTTGACCGAGGTGGGGACCTGCAAGTAAACTTTATTTGTCAAAATCAAGACAGAGGCTAAACCAGTGACGCTTGTATATAATTTTCCTACCTTGTGTGTTTAACTGTATAAATATTAAATGTAAAAGAGGAATTTGTACCAAAGAAAAAGTAATAAAATTCGTGCTGCTTTTTTTCTCTAAATCCAAACATCGATTGGGTCCAGTTCATCTCCTGGTTGTGAAGAAGGGGGTCATAGTCGCAGCCCAAGGGCCAGCTGGGGGCCTGGCAGTAGGCTGCCTCAGTCCTACACCCTCGGGGGACATCCCCAGGTGTCGCGGCTTGGTTTGTCTTGTCTCTGGAACTCCGGCCTGCAGATGGCCTGGCCGCCTCATGTTGGCAGGAGGGTGGCGTGGTGGGTGAGGGGGCTGTATCCGTCTGAGGACCCTGGGCTGAGACGGGACTGGCGGCCGGCTTTGTGCATTCGGCATTTCCAAGCGTGTGCAGAGACCAGATAGGGAAAGAGCCGAGTGGGGCCTGCACTTCGTCTCTTTTGACAGCCCCCGTGTCTGGCTGCTCTGGGCCCTGGAGGCTGAGAGAGTCTTGCAGCCTGACCCAGTGGAGCTAGGTGCTCCGGGCACTTCAGGCGGGCTATGTCCCTGAGGACGCCTGACAGGCGTGTGTGTGTGTGTGTGTGTACACGCGTTACTCAGTGTAGAGGAGTGGGGCAGGGGTGCCTGACACAGGTAGGGTGAAGCTCAGAGGGGCTTGGAGGATGGGGCCGGCAGGACTGTGTGCTGGCGTCCTTGTCTCTGTGTGTCCTCCTGACCCAAAGAGGAGGATGCCCTGTGGCTCGGAGCAGGAGGGCCATCGGGCTGGAGGCGGAGGGCACTGGCAGGGGTTTGAGGGGCTCAGATCCCAGGATCAGTTGACTCGTGTTCTGTGGAAATTCTGCATCTGTCAAGCAGGGGTGGGCACGTCACGGCCTTCGGCCTCGTGGGGACAGTTGCTGACCGGCAGACGCCAGGCCAGGGCTGTGGGGGTGTGTGTTGGCTCTGGGGCGAACCTAAAATAAGCTGGCATGCCCAGACAGGTGGGGACTGGTTCCCCCCGGGGATCCTGTGGGCCTCAGCACAGCTTTCCAGAGCACTCCAGATTCCTGGGGGTCAGCAGGTTGGCCTCGGGCACATAGAGGGTGCTCCTGCCCCCTCCAGCTCTCCGGCTGCCCTTTCCTTCCGTGAAGCCTTCCCTGTTGCAGGGGACAAAGTCAGAGAGCGAAGTGGGATGATTGGGTTTGCTCTGGGAGCCCACAGTGCCTGGAGGCTGGCAGAATCCCAGCTGACGTCCTGGAGCCCGGCCCCACGCTGGGATTCATTCAGGGACTGGAATGCAGGAAGGGGCCTTCCTTAAGCCCCCGAGCTCTCGGGAACCCCCGAGCACATGACCCCGGCACGGACGATCACGCGTGGTCTGCTTTGTCTTTAAGGGGGACCCCGACGCCCAGTGGAGGAGCCTACAAGGGCAGTTCGAGTCCTTATCGATTGGCTTTGCTTTTTTGAAAATACAACCGTGCTGGAACTTTTGGGGCAAGCACTGTTTCTCCTACACAGGTTTATTTATAGAGGAAGGTGGGTGGGATCTGTGTGTTGTAGCCTGCGTGGCTGGGTTATGTTCTGCCCGGGCTCCCCCAGGGTTCCTGACTCCGCGCCTGCCTGCCACACAGCTGCTGTGTCCTAGCACCCAGGCCGGGCGGGGCCTCCAGGGACGCTCACTGCTTGGGAAGGGGGGCCCCGGGGAGGCCGGCTGCAGCCCAGCAAGGGTGTTAAGGGACCAGGAGATGGCCAAGGAGGCACTTGGGGGCTCAGGATGACATGCACCTCCAGGAGTTGTCTCCCAGGGGCCGGGTGCCAGGTGTGTCTCAGCGTAGGGCTTGGAGAAGCCAAAGGACACACCAAGGTCACGCAGTTGCTGGAGGGCAGAGCTGGGTGAGCCCGGTCGGACTCTCAGGGCCCTGCATTGGGCAGGGGTGCGAGGCTGGACGAGTCCAAGCTTTTAAAGGCGTCTCGTGAAAGCTGATGCTTCAAGCCATCCAGCCACCACCAGCACGCGGGGCTCACGATGGGTGTGGGTGTCCTGGCGAGGACACTGGGGGCATTGACTTAGAACAGGGCTGGCCCGTCCCTCCGTCCTGCAGCCCACTCTGCCCCTGCAGACCGGAATTGAACAGGACAGTTAAAGGTTGTCCTCACCTCCCTGACCTTGTGGCCGTGATCCCCTGCACACTTTGCCTGACGTACAGAGCTGGGTTCGTGTGCTCTGGGGACCCAGGCCTGGGGATGCTCCCCTTCCAAGCCCCTCCTCATCCCAGCACCTTGTTCCTGGACCCAGGCCCCTGTCCTCCTGGCACCCATGTGTCTGTTTGCCTGGACTTGGAGTTCCCAGGCCGGCCCCTCGGGGGAGTCCTTGAGGGGTTCTCAGAAGGCGCTGGGCGGGCCTGGGGTGGGCTGACGGGAAGGCCATCCCTTCCCTGGTAGAGTTAGGGGATGTGAAGGCAGAAGTGGTGTGCCCAGAGCGGGGGGGGGGGCCTCACCTCTGTGGGCTGGCCAGGGCATGGCGTGTCTGCGTGGGCCCCGGGCTCCCCACCCCACAGGCCAGCTTCCTGGTGGCTCCCTGACTTTCTCTGATTGAAGAAGGAAAGAGGGACTGTGAGTGGTCTGTGTGTCTGGACTCCACTGCTGTTCCTTCACGTTCACGCTGAGCCCTGTTCGTGTGCCTGGCTGGGATGGGCCTGTTCCTGCTCTCCAGGCTGGCGTGAGCGGAGACGGGTATGGTCGTGGGGGCTCCACTGGGATGGGCTGTTGCCCGGGAGAGCCGGGGGGGGGGCAGCGGGGCAAGGCGGGTAGCAGAGTACCTGCCAGTGGCAGGGTGGGGGGAGACCTGTTCTTAGTGTGGCTGGAGGGCTTGGTGGGGGGGCCCTGGATGTGGGCCTGACCTCCCGTTGGCCCCTGAGTGAGAGCTGGGCTGCGAGGTGTCCTTTCCGGGGCTGCTAAGGAGGGCTTCCTGGAGGAAGTGAGGTTGGGCTGGGCGGTGTGGATGGATAGGCACTGGTAGAGAAGGAACAGGAAGGCTCTTATGGGTATTGTAAGGGTTTTTGCTTTCCACGAGGAGGTGGAAAGGTTTAATCATTGCGGGTCCTACTCTGATGAAAGGTCCAGATCTGTGGCAGTGTCACCCTTCGGGGGGGCGGGCAGTGGAAGGAGAATTAGCATGCGTTGAGGTTTGTCTGCTGGGAGGGACCTGGCTTCCTGCGTCTCTGCTGCTCCTCGGGACTGCCCAGGAAGGGTCGTGGCCAAGACCTTGTTCTCTCTGCGGTGGCCTAGATTTTCGGGCTTGCCCTGTGTCCCCACACAGACACCTGTGGGGCCCTGAGCTGGGCAAACAGTTGGTGTTCGTTGAGCTCACTGGTAGCCTGATTCGTTGGCAGAGGCCAGGAAGCGCTGATTAAACGCTCTGTGCGTGGCCCCTGCCCCCACATCTGCAGCCCAGCTGGACCCTGGGGAGGGCCTGGGGGGCTGTGGGGGGACTCGAGGGCATGGTGCAGAGCCAGGCCGGGGCTCCTGTGAACACCCGCCGGAAGGTGTCCTCACTCAACAAATCTCCTGGCTTGAGCTCTGTGCTGGTCCTCACTCTGGGCCCGCTGTGGTTCCCCATAGGACTCGAGGAGCTCCCACTGCATGCTCAGCGTGTCCTGCCATCGTCCATTCTGCAGCAGAGCTTGGCTGGCCTGATCTCGGTGGAGGTGCTGGGCTGGGTGGACCAGATGGAGGCTGTTGGGGGCTGGGGGCCAGGGAGGTTGCAGCAGCTGAGTGGACACAGAGTAGTGTGGGAGGATAGGGAGCAGGAACATCCCCTGCAGGGGAATGACACAAGCAAAGGTCCTGAGGCAGGTGGAATGGATCCATGAGCCTGGAGCTGTTCAGCTTTTGCTGTGAGGTTAAGGCGACGAGAGGCGGGGAGGCTAGGAGAGACCTATGAGCATGGTGGG